AATCAAGTCTGTGGTGCCTTTATTGTAGTATCCATCAATGGTCAACCAGTTTTCAGTAAACAATCTGCTCTCAACATCGTTAAATCTTTATCCACCCAAGGCCTTAAGGAGTTTGAAATTGATTAGCCCCTGTAAATAAAGCCTCCAGCATCCAAGGATGGAAAGAAGTGGATGAATACAACTTACATGCACCAACTGACAAATTTTATACAACAGCTGAGATCAATTATGCCTCACTGCATGCAATCCCTGTGTTGTGTACAGGTTTCCTTACAAATTCCCACACATATTGTCCCTGATGAAATGATAAGAATTGCAATCAACACTCTCACATCTCAGACAAAAACAAAAGAAGAAGAGGCACTAGGGTATTTCACACATCAAAAATTAAAGAAGCTTGATAATTGGAACAAATGGCTTGATGCTGAAAGAAAACAGCTTGACCAATATCATGATCTTGAAATGTACAGAAATCCAACCCCAAGACCTCCAAAATCAATTTTGTTGTGCCCACACTGGCAATACCAGGTCTGCAAAACTTGTGAACATCATTCTTGAAACTGCTGTGATGGGTCAAGATGTTCTTCCCCATTGATATATGCAATTTCCTCTACATACTTGACATGCATCAAACAACCTCCTGTTCAAACACTGTTCTTTGCACTAACAGTCATTCTGAATTACAAGTTATATGCTGGGATGCCAAAGAAGCATATGGGTACTCTCCACCACCAGAAGTTCCAACATATGTTGCTATTAATGGTCCAAATACTGATTGGTGTAAATGGAAATTTGGTTAACAGCTTGACCCACCAGATGTACTTCCTGTATAGCACACTCTACAAGGTCATCCCAAATCTGGACGTCTCTGGGAACAACACATAAAGAAAATGCTCTTCTCCAACAAACTCAAATTCACAACAACAACTCATGACAAGTTTATTTATCATACTACTTACAAAAATACTCATATTACAGCAAGTTGACAACTTCCTAATATCCTTGTCCCTTACAACCACTATTACAAATGAAATCTCTGACATTATCAGCAAGAAATTGCAACTCCCGAAAGAAAAACACATACCATTCAAAAAATTTGGGACTTGCTATATCCTAGAATGGTGTCAATATCAAACAAACAAAACAATAGATCAAAATTTATTGTGAAGACTGCATTGACAGAGAACAGGGGGAAAATCTTAATATTATATTTAACTTTGTGAGCTAGAAGAGGGACTATATGGCCAGAACCATAGTTTTGGGTAGAAAGTATGCTCCTAGTTGCTCCAAGGGGCGGCACTTCCCTCCAAGGAGTTTTGGTGGAAGGCCACATTGGCAGAGTTGCTTGATCTTGTGGTTTGACAACACCAAAGGATGAACTACTCAGTCATCCAACTGCCCCTCTACCTGAAAAGGCAATAGATTGTGTGTTCAATGAAGAAGACCTGCTGGGGTGTCCAGTCCTTGAGAACTGGAGATGGATTCAGCTGAGGCAAACTGCACACTGCTGGTGGAGGATAATACTGGGAATGATACTGGTCTAGGCAGTATTGGCTGGGGTTATTGTTGTTGTTGCTGTCTGTAAATAAAATTGGAACTGCATGGAGATAAGGCTGGTGGTGAATCATCTTTAAACTGAGTATGGTGTAGCACATACTCCAAGCATTGTTCCTCAAAAGAGAGATCTTGGTTGAATACTGGGGGCTGGGTTTATTGTTGTTGCTTTCCAACACCACTGATGTTGGAAACAACAACAACAACAACAACAACAATGTGACTGGAAAACACTTCTGGTGGTCCGTAGTAAATAAATTGGAACTGCATGGAGATGCTGGGTAATCTTTGAAACTGAGTATGGGGGTGTACTAGCATATACTCCAGGCACTGGTGTTCTTCAAAGGATAGGTCTTGGTTGAATACTGGGGGCTTGGGTTGATGTTGTTGCTTTCTGGCATGAATGTGGGAAAAAACTTCAACACTGGAACATACAGCAGTACATCTGGAGGAACAGGGGATGGATCCAGCTGAGGCTGGAGACAGGAGGGATGATATCAATAAAGGATATTCTTGGTTAGATTGCTTCTTGCTGTTTAAATGTGCTTGAATGGAGCCAGGGAGGTGGGTTTTCCCCTTTGGAAGGGGATGTCACCATGGTGGTTTGGATGCCAGAAGGCACTGGTCAGGTATGTATGTATGTATGTATGTATGTATGTATGTATGTATGTATGTATGTATGTATGTATGTATGTATGTATGTATGTATGTATGTATGTATGTAGGAATCAGTTGGAAATCTAGGTGATAATTTTCAGAACCAAAGTGTAATTTTGTGCATTTGAAAAAAAATTGATTTGAAAATTATACTCCCGAAGAAACAAACATTGGAATAAGTTGATAAGAATATGACATCAGACACACTTTCATTCAACCTCATCCATGACAGAACAGAACAGAACAGAACAGAACAGAACAGAACAGAACAGAACAGAACAGAACAGAACAGAACAGAACAGAACAGAACAGAACAGAACAGAACAGAGACTTACCATATTCTGAGAAGACAGACAAGGAAATCAAATACAGCGCAAAAGGATCACTGAAAAGGCTCTGGGCTTGTTGTGGAATGTATGCTGCAACAATGGAACAATTAACATCTTCCTCAGACAGTGCATGCATGGATAAAACCCTTTTGAAGTTGTTCATGGCTGAAAATCATCTAAGAGCTCCTATAGCACTAGAAGATTGTCCAGCTATCATATCAGTATTCTTGGTAGTGATAGTGACTGATCAGGCTTCCTCTCCAATGTCTAGTACAGTAGTGGCCAGTTGGATATCAAGCCTATGACAGTCAAGACTCAGTTCAAGCATCCTCCTAGTATAGCAGCAAGAAGCCTGGTCACACTTCCACCAAAACTCCTTGGACGGAAGTGCCGCCCCTTGAAGCAGTTAGAAGCATACTTTACACGCAACAAAGCTATGGTTCTGGCTATTTAGTGCCTCTTCTAGCTCACAAGGTTAAATACAATATTAAGATTTTTAATATAGCAGCAAGACGCCACAACAAGGAGGGCTCTGTTGCAGCTACCCCAGCATTCAGATACAAGGTCAGGAAGATATTCTTGGTACCAACTTCCCATCTAAAGAGGTTGATCTAGATCTACAGCTTATAGTTTAATACCAAACCAAAGATGCCATGGCATAGAAGAAGGAGGCACAGGATATGGAGAACCTTTGTCCTATTGTGGAGGAGGCTACTGATTGGCTGGTGAAATAGATATGGGAAGAAGCCAGCTTCTGCTGCAAGCAATAGCAGAAAGTGCCTGAGTATTATCTTGAAGCACCTTTGGGTCTAAAGTGAGTATCCTCTCCTAGTAAATAAATAGCTTTGTGCAGCAAAAATTCTGTTGCTGCTTCAAAGAAGGTGTCAACTTCAAGCAAGAGTACTAGTCTTAGCTTGTCCAGCAACCAGCAGAGAGCAGCTACTCTCAGTAGCTATCATTCACGGTACTACATATAAACTATATGCAATTTGTGCTTTTTGGAAGAAGGACTAGAGATCCACTGGAATTGGATTCAATCTTTTGAATCAATGACAATTAGATTCAATTGATTTACTGATCACTAAGTGGCTGGATCCCAAGCTATTCTGGTTGGATTGAATTCTAAAGGCCCATGATGACTCAACACACTGGCAAGCCAGTCATCTTTGGTTGGTTTTGCCAGTCTAAGGCAACTAGTACAGCCTCAGTTCTAATGGTGTGCTCTATGGTTGTCATTGACCAGCTGGGACTTGCTATTTTGCTCACAGCCATGATTATATCACAGATCTCATATTCACCAGTAGGTCCAAACTACTAGTACTTCGGTTGGTAAGAAGGGCATTGGATAAAGCTTAGTAAGTGCGTCCCTCATTCAGGTGGTCTTGCAAACATTTACAGTCTGTGCCAAATGCATTGGCTAGATGGGCTCCTAGATTGTTCCAAAGCAACATTTTGTGGGCATCTGTATGTCCAGGGGCTGGGTATTGTGCAATATCACTGTAGATGTACTGCTGAATCCTATGAGAGATCCTCCAAACAAAACAAAGTTGCTCTATGCAAGAACTCAATCCAGACCCATGAAGTACAGTATTACAATCTGTCCTTCTGGTACACACGAATTCTAGTTTGTGATGAACTGCTAATTACTGAAATCACTAGAACCTAAAGGTGTATGATTTCTCTTGGCCTACAGACAAAATCCAGTCAGTGGCATAATACTACTAATGCAAGTTACAACAACCAAAGCTTGCGGATTATTAAAGTTACGTGTACACTGTAGGTTCCTGCTTTCGATAATCGAAGTAAGGTCCTTATTCACCGCAAGTTCCTGTTCTCTATTACTTGGTTGTAAAGCGTTGCATCTGATTTCCTTTCTTGTTTACGGTATGACATGTCTAATTATGAAAGTAATCACTGCATCTCATGACAATGATCTCCAACTCCCATTTTAATAACTCAGGCAATTGAATTCTTTTGGTTTGCGTCTAGTTGTGACTTGATTGCGACTATTCAGCGCTGCATTCCAATACACTACAGCATGTGCAACAAGAACATTCGAAATTTTCGTCCTCGCAGTCAGCACCCAGCTTTTCAATAATTTGCGTAGGGAAGACTGTATTCGCACACACTTCTGCGGGCATGCTTCCAACAAAACTGTTGCCCTCAAGCTCAAGGATTCGCATAGTGTCAAGATTTCCAAGCTCGGATGGAATTGTTCCTGTTAGCTCATTGGCGTATAACCACATTTGCTTCATATTTACAAGATTTCCAAGTTCTGAAGGGATGGTTCCGGTCAAAGAGTTGAAGGCCATAGACCAGGATTCCAAAGTGGTTAGATCTCCAATATAAGCTGGAATTGGTCCTTTTAGCCCTGGATTGGTGTCGATCCAATGTTCACGAATGGAAGGCATTCCTTGCATATATGAAATATCACCAGAGACAAAGGAATCAGAGAGGTATAAGAATTCAAGACTGGGGAGTCTACCGAAAACAGCTGGAATAGTGCTGTTGAATGCATTTCCATCAAGATCAATAAATGCCAGCTCTTGGAGGCTTTCGAAATTGGTATCGATGAGGCCTCCTGTAAAGTATGAGAATGAAATGTCAAAGTTGACAAGATTCTCTGGAAGACGGGGAATATCACCACTGAAGGCGGTCTCCTCGGCGATGATGGTAGCTGAAAAATTTAATCGAGAATTTGATTGTAAATGACTCGATTGTGTTAGATTCACTGTACATAAACAATTGAGGTTTCTTGAGTATCTGAATTGTTCGTGACCACACTTACTCATATTGGAACCCAGATCTGTCATCCATGAACTATCGGCATTGTTGTAAAGGAATTCATTTCTGAAAAGATCGATGCGGAACAAATTTCCTGCTCCAGTCGAGAAAGGACCATCTAGAGATAAAAGTACTACCTCCGGTGGAAAAGATCCAGTTAACAAGTTCTCAAACAAATCGATGATACTAACTCTCGATTCGGCGTCGCAGATAATACCATACCAATCACAGGGGTCTATGTCTGTTGCTTCCCATCCGGTTGTAATCAACCAATTCGGGAAAGGAATACCTTCAAAACGAGGATCAGCATCTGTAATCACATTAGGCACCCCATTTGTCGCAAAAAAGATACAGTATAGTGCGTAATACTGTACAAGCTTCGCATCTGTGAAAGAATCAACACCAATTTGAGATTCCGTTTGTTTGAGGGCCTTGTACTGGTAACTTGTGGTGTCTTCGAATTCAGCTCCATTACTAAGGGCGAACGTAGAAAGTTTGGCTTGCGTACCAGATACTGGAGCGTCAGTTGGGGCAACTGGTGCAATGGTTGGGGCAATTGGTGCAATAGTTGGAAGAGTAACTGGAGCAGGAGTAGGTTTTGGAATTGGCGCAACCGGGGCTTCAGTTGTTTGAATGTCCGGAATAATTACCGCATCAATTGCTTGGATTACACCATTACATGCCATACCATCTGGTCCAACAATTTTCCCAGGAACTCCATTATCCTCGATGAATGTATCGATGACTTCGTTACCTTCAGGATCAAGTGACATGCCGCACGTGATTGTAGTCTCAGCACCATTTGCCATTGTCAACGAAGAAATCGGCCCACCTTCACACTCAAGATTTTCAACCATAATTTGTTGCCTTCGAACAACATGTCCCAAAAGGACTAATTCGAGAAGTTCTTTGTCTTCAAGAATGGTGTCAACTAATTCTGAGGGTAACGCTGCGATTGCATCGTTCGTCGGAGCAAATAAAGTTAAAGTGCCTTGTTCAAAATTATCCAAAATTCCAGCTCCTTCCACCAATGTTGTAAGCGTTGCAAATTCAGGTGTGGTGGTGATAACCTCAGCTGTGAAGTTCAAAGCAAAGATTTGAATGAATGAGAACGGTAACAAAACAAAATTATTTAATTCTAAGAGGTGCACCAATATTCCTCGCTCAATACTTACCAATAGTTTTGCAAGATACGGATGGAGCTATCGTTGGAGCTACCGTTGGAGCTACCGTTGAAGTGACAGGTGCTTCGGTGGGTGCAACCGGTGCATCCGTAACAACAGCAACTGGCGTATCCGTGGGAGCAACCGGTGCATCCGTAACAACAGCAACTGGCGTATCCGTGGGAGCAACCGGTGCATCCGTGGGAGCAACAGGTGCATCCGTTGGGGTGACAGGTGCATCCGTAGGTGCATCAGTAACAGCAGCAACCGGGGTATCCGTAGGTGTAACTGGTGCATCTGTGGGGGTGACGGGGGACTTCGTCGGGGCTGATGTCGGTGGCATACTGTCAACAGCGTCGACTAAATCTCTCCAGTAAGCAAAATCCTCCGCATCTTTGTTGGAGGCATGGTTGTTCTGTCCGAGCGCCAAAGAGGCAAGGAAAGCCGTGGTTAAAATGAACTTCATTTCCCGAGTATATCTTTAGTTGAAAGATCTCGTTCACAAAGTGGGTAGGATGTGAACTAACTAGCTATTTCAAAGAACGCTGTATTGAGTTATGATGGAAGAAAGACGTTGACAAGAGGTGTAAAAAGTGTTGGTCGGCAACGCAAATTTTCTGGAGGGAGCGATCGATAGTAGAATTTTATTTTGTGAATGAGCGATCGATGAAGCACCTCTGGGGAACTTTCTTCGAATCGGCCAGTATGTGTAAAACTGATTAATATGCTTGACGCAATCACGATTGTGCCACATTTAGAACTTAGATTTAAGTATGTCATAAGCCCACAAACCGTTGAAACGTTGAACTTTCATTCGCCAGTGGGATGTAAGTAGGACGATTTTGGGGATCGTTGGATGTGCGCCTTGAAGAAACATGGAGAAAATTACCGTACTGTTTTTTACTGAAGTACGGTACGAAACTACTTACATACCTGCCGGTGCTGGCACATACAGTTAGGAAACGTTGACTTGAAAACCTAAGAAATTTACTGGGAACAAAAATTGAAGCGACGACCTTCTTGTGTGAGAGTTCGTTTCAAGCGATGTAGTTACAACAGTACTACTGCTAGTAGTACTACTAGTAGCTACGTCACATACAAGCAATGTTACTACAAATGTCTTACCTAACATTTTCTTCTCACTATTACCAACACTGAAATACATTTGCCTCATACTAGTAAACAACCACCCGGAGAGCGTCACACAAGATGGGCTGGTCGTCTTTGACACGTACTCCAAGTTGAAGAAGGAACAACATAAACCCTCCTCCTCCTCCGCATCACCAAAGATTTCTTTGTTGGTCTCTGTCCCTACCAAACATACCATGCAAACTACTATGAACAATTTTTTCAATTAATTCCCCAGCCCAAACAAAACCCTGGTCGCACCTCCATCAACTCTCCTTGGAGGGAGGTGCTGCCCCTTGGAGCAACTAGAAGCACCATGCTTTTGACCAAAAGCAGCCAGTACAGGTGGTTCTGGCCATATAGTAGTAGTGCCTCTTCTAGTTCACAAGGCTAAATACAATATTAAGATTTTTTTATAACCAACACTGAAATAAGAATGTTCTCAACATTCTATGTCATTCCCACTACTATTAGTAGGAGTATCATCCAGCAGATAGAGAATAACAACACCACGTTATTTTGTCTCCTCATCTTCGTCTTCTTGAAAAAGTCAGCAGTAATACTAGTAGTTTGTCTAGTACTACTACAAAAAAGAAAATGATGGAAAATCATCTGCTGTCAAAAATAGTAGGTGTATTTTAAAGCTAGTAGTAGTACATTGAAAATAATAAGTTTTCTTCATTGGTGGTCACCAATAGCTAGTACTAGATGGTCTACTGTTGTCCCATCATATTGAATACTCCTGTTTTCTGTACTAGTACTAATAGAAAAATATGCCCAAAACTAGTACTAGTAGTATTTTGTTTATAAATACTATCTGGTAGTATTATTATTATTATTATTATTATTAGTAGTAGTAGTAGTAGTAGTAGTGGTAGTAGTGGTAGTAGTAGTGGTAGTAGTAGTAGTAGTAGTAGTAGTAGTAGTAGTAGTAGTAGTAGTAGTAGTAGTAGTAGTAGTAGTAGTAGTGGTAGTAGTAGTAGTAGTAGTAGTAGTAGTAGTAGTAGTAGTAGTAGTAGTAGTAGTAGTAGTAGTAGTAGTAGTAGTACTGCATTCTGNGTAGTAGTAGTAGTAGTAGTAGTAGTAGTAGTAGTAGTAGTAGTAGTAGTAGTAGTAGTAGTAGTAGTAGTAGTAGTATGACCCCTATTATTTACTTTGTGGGACTTGTAGTACCTATTCTGCACCCCCCCCTGCCTAAAGGAACGTATTTTGTGAGTGAAAAGAAAAGAACACATCACTAAGGGTCCAGAATAGCAATGACTAGTACTAGTACTAGTACTAGTACTAGCCTTGCTGCTACCTCACTTGTCAAATATTTTTGTTTAAATCTAGCCATCACAAGTGAAGGGTCCAGAATCCATTGGAGGACTAATGTTGGAAATATTGAGTCATGTGCCATTTAATTCAATCCATGTTCAGGTATCTCCAGGGCAGCATTTTTGTTTTCTAACCAATGGGGGGGGGGGGGTTGGGAGATGTTCCAATTTATTTCAACTGATCTTTTTCAGTGCAGCTAAGTCATTTTTTACATCAGAATCCTATTATATAAGTTTTCAATCATATTTTGGGGGTTTACATCAACCAAAATTTTCAATGTTTGTTCTCTCTACCATTTGAGAGAAAATTATGCTGCATTTCAGCTTGGCTTTTTTTCTTCTGGTTTTCCTTTTTTTGATTTGTTTCTTGTGACTGCTTTACCACCACTCCCTGTGATTGCTTTAATTGGCTTGGCAGTGCGCTTGGCATCTATCTCAGGGAGGCACACCAGTTAAAGTATACTCCAATGTAGACAACAATTGATAGCAATCCAGCTGGTGACATTGACACCATATTTCCCATGACAGAACAGACCATTTCTCATCCTGGTCGCACTTCCATTCACACTCCTCGGAGGGAAGTGCCGCCCCTTGGAGCAGCTGGGAGCACTCTTTCTAATGAAAGCTGTGGTTCTGGCCATATAGCGCCTCTTCTAGTTCACGAGGTTAAAAATAATATTAAGATTTTTTTTCAGACCATTTCTCATCCATGTTTTCCTGATTCACATATTTCCTTGCCTGTTTTCTTTGTATAAAGGGAGGAGATGGGTCAATCACAATGGTGTTACTAAGGAAATCCACCAAATCACCATCTGATTCTTCTGGTGGTGGTTCTGCATTGTTCTTGTGTACATCACAAAATCTTAATATATTTTTTTGCCCTAATGAACTAGTAGAAGAGATGCTATGTGGGTCATAGCCATTAGGTTCTGCATTGTTCTTGTGTACATCACAAAATCTTAATATATTTTTTTGCCCTAATGAACTAGTAGAAGAGATGCTATGTGGGTCATAGCCATTACTTATCCTGACTAGGGAGAAGAATGCTCTTTTGAATACTGGGGGCTGGGGTTGTTGTTGCTGCTGTCCAGCACAAATGTTGGAAACAACAACATCATGACCAGAATCTTTGTCGGGTCCTTAAGAACTGGGGATGGATCCAGCTGAGGCAAAATGCAAGCATCAGCTGGTGGGGTTACAGGGGATGATACTGATATCATCAACATCTTAATTGGATTGCTTTAATTGGAGCATGTTGGTGGGTTGCTGTTGATGTTACAACAACATCATGACCGGAATCTTCTGCTTCTGGTCTGGTCCATAAATAATTCTGGAGCTGCATGCTAGAGATGCCGGGGAGTATTTTTTAAAACTGAGTATGCACCAGCATCATATACTCCAGGCACTTCAAAGGCTTTCTCAAAATCAGGCCTCTATTTTTGGTACTACTACTTGCTACTAAGAAGAGGAAGTTATCCCTTCTGGTATGCTGTCCATTTGACAAGCAGCAAGAACAGGTATGCATACATACCACCATATGGTATGGCATCTTTTGAGAATTTCTATGCTAAGTACTAGTATTACTTCTACTGCTACTCATCCTAACCCTATCATAGTCTGTACCATACTGGTACAATTACCATACAACAATCAGAAGAAAATCAGAGGGTTGTTGTAGCTCAAAAAGTCATCAAATATTTTTGTGAATCAGCGTCAGACAATAATAGGAAGATTTATCATCCACCCATTTTGCACTTTGATTAGATGGTGATGATCAGAAGATGATGATGTTGTGCCACTAATTCCAATTTACATAATGGAATCAGATGAAAATCAGATGATGCCTCAGTTTGCAATGATGCGTTCTTGTGGAATCAGATGATTTTTGGAACGACTGTTGCTTCACCAAACAAATTTTGATTCACATCATAGGATCAGATGAAATTGGAAGGATTTCTGTTGCCACCCCCGCTTGGCCATTTTATGATGATCAGACAATGATCAGACAAGGCAAATTTTGATTCGCATAATGGAAACAGATGATTTTTGGAACAACTGTTTGGGGATTTGATGAGATGATGATCAGGTGATGAGTTAGTTTACAATCAGATGAAAATTGGAAGGATTCCATTGCCACCCTCGTTTGGTGATTTGATTAGAAGATGATCAGACAATGATCATGAGATGATGATCAGACAATGAGTCAGTTTGAAATCAGATGAAAATTTGAAGGAATCTGTTGCCACCACCATATGGAAATTTGATTAGATGATGATTAGATGATGATTAGACGATGATCAGACAATGCGTTAATGTGGAATCAGATGAAAATCAGAAGGATTCTGTTGCCTTTGCCACCCCTGTTTAGCAATTAAATTAGATGATGATCAGATGATCTTGCTTCACAAATATTGACTGAATCAGATGATTTTTGGAAGGAAGGAGCATTCAGAAATTCTATCAGATTATGATCAACCCATGAAGAAGTATTCAATTTTAGGAGGCATTTCACAGAAATTATTTGTGTGTTTGGTTTTGTAGATCCATTCCAAGTCACAGGTCTTCCCATTCCATGCCACTATGACACCAATGCAAGCTTTTTCAACACTAGCTGTTGTTTGAAGATATCCTTCACTCTGGCACAGAAGTCAATCTAAACATTTAGAATGCTAGGGGCTGTATGGATCTTGTTCTCATGATCATGGGAGGTAATACCATGGCATTCACAGGCTTGAGGAAGAAATACCACTGCCCTTGGTGGTGTTGGTGGTGGCTTGTAATATGAATCAAAATATTCCAGCTCATTGTGGTTACAATCATTAAAAACTGCAGACTTCTTTGGACCACCAGTCTGAACATCAAAGGAAACCCAACAAAGTTACAGTTAACTGTTTCCTCTTGGGTGGACTTGGTGGACCACCACCAGTGCTGGTGCCTTCTTGTTGTGCTTGATCAAAGGGCAGGGAAGGGGGTTCCTCTTTCACATCATGTCTCATCCTACCAAGGCAGTCCTGAGGCAGTCCCAAGGCAGTCCTTCACTGCAATACTTTCAAGAATGAGGTCTGCACACGGCTTATCGAGGTGTAAGGCTATTGCATTTGCAGGGTTTGGCAATTTACGAGGTAGCTGTTGGGTCTGTGAGCGTCTTACGTCTGTCCGTCGTTTCCAATACTCAAAAAGAATCTAGCGCGTGTGAATACACGCGAAAAGCGAGCAACTCACCGATTACAAGTGCGATAAAACAATTGCAGCAATCTTTAATCAATCACTTCTTTTCTCCACATCGAGTTTTGTGTCGTTTGAAGAAGTTCGAAGGGTCGAGCTAATAGAACAGTGACCGGCAACCAAGAGATCTTTCTAGAATGAATGGAAAACGCTCTTCCATACCCTGCTTTCGGTCGACTTCACCGCTTTTGCTCGAATTGGTGTTCGTGTCCGTTTTGTTCTTTGTATTGCATCTTTCTGTCTTGACGACTACGGCGGTTGCCTTTGTGCCGGCATCATGTCGCACAAGTAGGTCGAACACTTGCACTACTGATTCCTTTCAAAAATGGCAGGGGGGTCAACAATGGCAGAGTTATTCAACGGACCCGTTTCCTTTTCCGATCCTCAAGGCGACCCAGATCGATCAAGACCCTTTGTCCACGAGGCGATGGTATCCAGAGGATGGCGTCGAAGATTTTTCTAGGAAAGATCTGGAAGAAAAGTCTCTGCAGTTGATGGCAGAACTTTTGAGGCCATTGTTTCCACTCGGCAAKGGCGTTGGCAGCGAAGAAGAGACAGAAGGATGTGCTCTCGATGACAAAGTTTATGCCGAGGCGAATCAGATGTCCAATGAATTGGCCAAAGGCCGTTTCGTAGATTTTTGTTGTGAAAGTGAAGGAGAAACAAGAGTAGAATCTTTCTTTCTTCAAGCTGCAGATACAAAAGTGGGGAGGGAAATCATTAAAAGCGGAATGAGCGAGGATCTCATCTTGTTTCGAAAAGTGGTCGAGGGAGCCATCGTCTCCCTTCAATCGCTGTTGGTTTTCGGAATGACATATGGCCTCACTCTGCATCCGACGGGCGTCAGTCGAGCGGTGGCCCACATGAAGGACGATGCCGAGGCACTCGACGTGACCTGGCCAACAAATGGACAGCAATGGAAACCGGCTCATTCGTTGCGGTTGAAGTACTTGAGTTTTTTGGATCATGATGCCGATGAAAAAGTCCCTGGCCTCCAACTCTTGTCCACCCTGAAATGGAAACGAACACCGTTGAGGGCATATGAATTGCTGACACAAATAGGGGTATGGGGAAAGCACGAGAACCTAGCCTTGTTGAGGAGCGGTGTTCCTCTGAGGTTTACAGAAAGCGAAGAAGAAGCGGCTGAGAAAGTCGCGGAAGAGAGCAAAAAGGATTTGGGAGACGATGCGGACACCCTACTTGAAATTCGCCGCGACTTTCGGGGCCAAAAAGTGTTCACGATCGACAGCGCGTCCACAAAGGAGATAGACGATGGCTTGGGAGTTGAGGTCATTGAGGGAGAAGATGGCCAAAAACGCTATCGCTATTGGATCCACATCGCCGACGCAGACCGATGGGCGACACGAGACTCTGACCTGTTCGAGATGGCCAGACGGCGTGCGACGTCTATTTATTTGCCGGGGAGATCGATTCCGATGATGCCGGCCAGCGTAAGCGAGCAAGTCATGTCGCTTAGGGCCCAGTCCGATGTTTGTGCCTTGTCATTGGGTGTTGAATTGAATGACGACGGATCCATTGTGGAAGATAATATCGTCGTAACTCCCTCTACGGTTAGGGTCACCTACCGGCTAACCTACGACGACGCCGACGAGATGCTCGAAGATGGCGTGGGATACAGCGAAGAATGGCAGTTGGGACGTTTGTATACCGCCGCACAGCAACGCCGACAGTTTCGGGTGGACAATGGATCCGCCGAAGACTTTATTCCAACCCAGATTCCGCAGTACACGATTTCCACGTTTCCCGATCAGGGAGCCCCCGATGACGTGGGGATCAAAATCGATTTACAAGTGAGTCACAACGGAGGGAAGAACCAATCTTCCATTGTTGCCGAATCGGGTGACGGAAATTCAGACAAAGAAGAGCTGCCGGTCTCTTCTTCGTTCCTACTAGTGACAGAGATGATGATTCTCGCCGGGGAGGCGATCGGAAAGTGGGCCGTTCGCGAAACACAAACCCCCTGTGGCAACCACAGGAAAAACACACTGGAGCTGCCCTTTCGGAGTCAAGAAAAACCCGACTATAGGACCCGGGAGCGGGAACGGAAAATCATGATGGACCTGCTGGATTGCAACATCGGCGGCGGCTATTGCCACGCCTGGTACGCCCGGAGGTTTTTCTCCCCCGCCAAGGTCACCCCGGAGGCCCTCCCGCACTCCGGCCTGGGACTGGAGTGCTACGCACAGTGGACGAGCCCGATCCGCAGGTTCCAGGACCTGCAGGTTCACGCGGCCGTAAAACGCTTCCTCCGGCGGCAGCGGGTCCTCGAGCTCCTTGAAACTGGCGAGCCGGTCCCGAACGGGCTATCGCCGAGCGACCTTGGCTGCGGGCTCCCGACGCAAAACGAGGACGGGACGCTCGAGCTCCCGCTGGAGGACGCCGACGGGGACATCGATTACGGCGACGGGGTCAAGCTACTGAAGCCCGTGCAGTTCGTGATGCGGAACACAAACAAATTTTGGATGCTGGAACACATCCGCCGCCTCAAGGAGGCCGATCCCCAGCTTTCGACCGAGGTTCTGGTGCTTGGCTGCGTGAATCCCTCCAAGCGACAGTATTCGGTGTACCTCTACGAGTTTGGCCTGGAGTGGCGCTACAATTCCCCTGCCGGCATCCAGGCCGGGGACCGCTTCATGGTTCGGTTCGGGAACGTTCTTCCCCAGAACGGACAGATGACGCTGGTGCGAGAGCCCAATAGCTCAAAACCATAATGTCGTAATGCTTATAGTAGTAAAATAGAATAGATTTTTTCTTCGACATTACTTCATTCCCGTTATTCTAGATCCGAGCTAAAATTACTAGATTTGATGGACTGACAGACAAAAATTTAGCGTGAGTCTAAATCAAAATTATTTGGAGAGGCCGTCTGGACCCCTCTTCTAAACAAAAGACTTGATTCACATGTTATCTTCCTTCCAACCATTAAATAACCGTTACTGAATGGTCCAGTTGTTTGATTGCTGAATTAGCATCTCGAGACCATCTACAGTGCTGCCCTATACTTCTTTCATTTTCTTGCAGTTGATCTAACATAATCTTTGATATCTTCCTTATTTGAAATAGAAACTATAGCAACTGAGTGTATGCAAAGTGCAAACAGCAGAATTTTCTGGGAAAAGTTCAATCATTTGTACAATGGTAGCTATTGCCTGATGGCTTGAGCCCAAAATGCCATTGCTGATGTAGATCCTCTGGTGCTGAACCAGTAGAGCAGCATTCCAAGAACAAAAGAGGTTGAATCTTCCTTTTTCTTTGCCTTCCCCTTAGGCTTTCTACTCCCACAGCAGAGAACTGGTCTGATCATTGTAGCTGAAAGCTGGAGCAAACAATTCAAGGAGGTCCCTGAAGACCTGTAGTTTATACCACACCGGCAATTCAGCAAGGCTTGGTTATCACCAGAGTCAAAAGAGGAAGAGGAAGGAAGAACCAGGAGTATATCTTTAAATTGTAATCCTGGAGCTTCTTCTGTCCCTTCTTCTCCTTTTTTCTGGAYTGCTGGGTCTATCTTGTCCCTGTTCCTCCAAGGCTTCTTGGAGCTCCTCAACAAGGGGCACATACTAAAATATAAAATTTCAAGAAGTAATTCCAATGTAGTTGCTCTATAAACCCTGCCAGGAGGAAAGTTTGAGCCAAAAGGGTGGATGAGAAGTATTTTACAACTAGTACTAGCGCTTTTAGTAGTAGTAGTAGTAGTAGTAGTAGTAGTAGTAGTAGTAGTAGTAGTAGTAGTAGTAGTAGTAGTAGTAGTAGTAGCAGTAGCAGTAGTAGTAGTAGTAGTAGTAGTAGCAGTAGCAGTAGTAGTAGTAATAATAATAATAATAATATTGATAATTTCATGGTTATCCTTGTATGACAGAAAAACAAGAAGAAGCATGCGTCAATTCCCTCCTTTTTGTCATGACATTGAACAATAGTAAAGACTGGTGGTGTTGAGCCAGTGGTTGGTCTATTGGATAATGGACTCATTGAAAAAATGGACTGACTCTACTAGATTTTTAGACTTTTAAAATATAAGGAATGAACCAATAACACTACCACTATATACTAGTAATGGTAATATTAGTACAAGTGCCAAATTTTTGCAGCAACCAATATCTCAACACAGTCAAAATTCGTGCGTAGGCTGTAATACTATGCTATTTTGTACCACTCTGTTTACCACTATATTCATAAGTTCTACATACTTTTTTGTACACATTATTTTGTGCAATCTGTGCAATCTGTACCAGCACTTCTGCTTTGGTGGCATCCATACTTCTTCTTCTGGTAGCTCCACACAGTGCAAAATGTATGGAGCATCCAACTGTTTTGCAACCCCCTCTTAGTGACAAGCCCATCATGCTCTTTGTGATGCGCAAGAGGTGCATTTTGCGCTCACAAAAAATGAGTACAAGATATATCTGATTAGCAATGGGTGTGCTTCCAACACTGCTGTCAGAAGAATTTTTTACAGAGACTGATTAGCAATGGATGTGCTTCCAACACTGCTGTTAGAAGAATCTATACAGTGCTGTATGGTGGTCCAACCAAAAATGTTTCCTACATCCTTAGGGCTATGGCCACTCATGATGCCCATGGAGGCCACCAATTGTTGTTTACAAGTACTACTACTACTACTACTACTACTACTACTACTACTACTACTACTACTACTACTACTACTACTACTACTACTACTACTACTACTACTACTACTA